TATATATATATATATATATACTTATTCAATTCATTTCAAAAATACTTTATTAATCCCAGAGGGAAATATTATATGTTGGGTAACTCATCATCCTGGTTTCATTAATGAGTTGTTATAGATGCTGATGGCTGTGGGCAGGAAGGATCTCTTGTAGCGGTCTGTCCTACAACGGATTTGAAGAAGCCTCTGAATGAAGACACTTTGTTGTTGTATGACAGTCTGATGAAGAGGATGCTGAGGGTTGTCTATAATCTTCTTCATTTTATGAAGAATCCTTCTTTGTACAGTCATCTCCAAAGGTTCTAGAGGAGTCCCCAGAACTGAGCCAGCCTTCTTTATGAGCTTGTTGATCTTTTTTAAGTCACTTGCTCTGGTGAGAGCAAGTGACTGCAAGTCTGGAACAAGTCTGCCCCAGCAGATGATGGCAGAGGAGATAGCACTCTCTACAACAGACTTATAGAAGATATGCAGCATCTTGATATATAAATCATGTGTATATATATATATATATATATATATATATATATATATATATATATATAATTTAAACTGAGAGTGGTCTCCAATTCATTCCGTATGATCAGTGCTGCTGCTACAAAGCAATGTTGCAAACTCTTTGTTTGGTTAGTAAGCGAGACACAAAGCTGCCTTGCAGCAGTATGTTCTCAGAAGCTCGTTTTTCACCTGTCACCTTGGAGGGGGCCAAAGGATTACCCCCCGAACAAGTCACACTGTCCAGAGCTATCTGTCCCACACTGAAAACAGAGGTAAAGCAAAACCTGTCTCTGGAGAACAGCAGCTCATAACTCACAGGTACTGGTGTCCTTGTCAATAAAATCCCACATAAAGAAGATTGGGCTTAAATGAATGTGCCCACGAGAGGAATATGTTGTCAGGTGAGGCTCGATGCTGCAGCTCTCTTCGTCAGGAATGTCTCTACGCTGTTGTTCCTCACCCATCCCCCCACCCCCTTTAGCCTCTGCAGTGCCATTGTGAGGAGAAGGAATGCTTTTTTAAAATGTCACTCCTTTCACAGAAAGAGACGTCACGTGTTCCCTCATTTTTATTAAAGCTGGATATCCTGATGCATGCTCAATAATCCTAGTAAATAAATCTAACCAGGTTGAGTCAGGTCCTCTGGAGGATTCTTCTGTGTTGAAATGTTTCGTCTTTTATCCAAAAGACTTCTTCAGTCTGACTGTCCATCCTCAACCATGTTAAAGGTCGGACAGTTTATCTGGTCGAGTAAGATGTTCGGTTCTGCAAGAAATATTCTGACTGTACAAGATAGTACCAGGCAGCCATGTCCTGTTATGTTAATTCATTATACTTGTGTGATTTACATAGATATGAATGAGTGAAATTTAGCATAAAGATATATAAATGAATACAAATGTATTTTTTCTCTTGCCACATCTTTAAATTGTTTTTCAAATACTTTTTGACAAGTAGTTTTTGTTACTTATAAAACGTTTTAGTCTAATGAAGAATGTGGTTTCAAGGTGGGATCAAATTCACAGATGAGATTCATCAAATGAACACAGTCTTTAATAGATGAACATAATTTGATGTTTGTAAGTTTTTACCTAACTTGGACGACTTCTCCAGTTTTTTAAACCATGTAAAACGTTCAACCTTAAATGTTAGCGATCTAATGTTTAACAGATGATTACGATAGTTTTTCTGGATATTACTTTTACATTTACTAGTTTTTACATTTACTTTTCACTTAGTTTTGTTGTGTAAGAAAGCCACGCCACATGTCAAGGTGTGGCTGAGCTTCATGCAGACGAGTGGGTGGTCCTTCTCAGGTGCTCACATATCATTGGTCGGTGCAGTTCGCTAAAACATTATTACCTGAATGAGGTAGAGACAAACGTCAGAGAGGAGCATGAGAGCAGCTTGTCGGTTGTGTCTTTAGTCTCCTTCAAGACCAGTTCAAGCTTTTTTTATTTCATTTGAGGTCACAAGGAACTCAGGAGGCAAATAAGGTGAGTGGAGCATTTGATGGACGGTAGGGTAGTCTTGTTCCTAAAGACAAATTTGTTTAAAGCTGCAATTATATACGAGCATGGTTATATTTTATTATCATTATTTTGCAAGTTTAGAAGAAGTATGAAGGATTTCTGGACTTTGCCAGTTGTAGGGGGAAAGTTCAAATCAGATTATTTTAAGTATACCTGACTGCTGAAAAACGTCAATATCTAATGTTGTGTTTTCCCCAGGAGCGCGACTCTGATTCCTGCAGATAGTGAGTCCACAGTGGGCTCGATGTGCAGGGTTTGCATCACTGATGTCTAAACAGGCACTTGGTTCAGGCTTGTGATAGCTTGCCAAAGCCCAGGATTTCAACAGCAGCCTGAGAGCCCGGAGCCACGGACAGAACAGGACAGGCCTGGTCTCGCTCAGACTCAAACTTCAAGTCAAGAAAAGGGAGAGGTCGACATCTAACTCCATCTGCGCTCGCTTGTCACTTCCTCAACCTCTGAGGTTTTCTCATCAACCACGGAGTCCCAAGTGTGCAGGTTTCAGAGTTGGCCTCTGTCCTGAGGTTTAATAAGGGGAATAAAACTTACAGCTTATCTTAACGTTACTTTACACTTGCTGTTCCTGCAAAAGAAAAGGAATTGTCTGTTTGACAGAGCTGTAAATCTGAGACGGAATGAAAATCTGATCATGAATGGAAATGATTTGATAATATGCGTTTTGTTCTTTCTATTTTCAGATGCTGTAGGAATATTCCATGTGTTCTATCCTTCATTCCACCGGAGTCTGTATCTGTTTTTAGCCAGATTTCAGTGGTGTGAAGTGTAAAAGGCATGGAGATGTGACTTCACAGGCTGGACAAAATGCCAGAAGGCTATCAAGGCATAACAAGAAATTCTGGTTGCTCCCAATCCGTGCTCTGTTTGTCAAAAACATCCTCACAAAAACCAACTGTTCTAAATATATATATATATATTTATCTATTTTGTGTGTGTGTGTGTTACATACTGTATGCCAGGCTTAAACTATAAAAACTGCAATAAAACATGATTCAATCTTCTGACCTTGTGCCCTGTATTTCTCTCTCTCTCACAGTGCAGCATCTCAAATCATTACAGAGTCATTATACCACCCACATCAAGCTTTCTGTGTTCCTCATCCGGAGAGCACAATTTTTTCTTCATTTGCCCACAAAGACAATTTAAGACTCAGCCCACACAAACAACCTTTACTTCTTGGCAGATAAAGCTTATTAACAATTTAAAACGTGCCCTCACTGCAGCCCTCACAATGATGCCATTAGCCATTTTTCTCCCTGCTACATTGATGACGCCCTAACAAGTTTTGCACATGTAAGGCAAAAAAAAAAAAAAAAGACAAGTCTTTGTGGTTTTACTTTGCTTTACCTCAGTGCTGAGACCATTTCCTCTTTTACATGATACATGTTTCTATCTATACGCACCGTTTATTCTTCAGTAAACTGCATGAAGTGAATAACTGCAGGGTTTAACCAAAGCAGATCAGAATAAAGATTTGGAATTCAATAGAATTTAAAAAAAAACGGAGCATCTGGGTGGTTGTGAGCATGCCTCCTCTCTGCTGCAGGTCTGTTTGCTTTCTGACACTCCATTCCCATCAGAGACTTTTTTATGCAAAGGCATAATGGTGCAACGGTATAACATGTTTTTGACCTGTAGTCATGTTTGTGAGTCGACTCATGAATTTAAACTCAACATTTTAGGATTACCTAAAAGAACACACCACAGTCTGGGGCACCTTTCCAGATCCCAGTTCCAGGGAAAGCAAGCCCAATTCCCAGAACAGCCAACCCCCACTCCAAAATCTGCCTTGCCAAATAGTTGCATTGCTGACGTGCTGGTATCAGACACCACCACATGTTCTTTATGCGTTAGGTTGTTTTGCTTGTGCAAGGTGGGCGTACTGAACGTTACGTGGGTGGTCATAAAGTTATGGCTGATTGATGTTCATGCAGAAGGATCTAGTTTATCAGAAACAAACGTTTGTCATATCGTTTGTCGTATTACCAAAAATAAGTGTCAGCAACATCGATTTTTCAGTTCTGAGCAGCACGATATTTGCAAAATAATAGTTTCTCTGTCATGGCTAATCAAATCACAGCTCGAGCTAACACCCTATGATTACATTATTTACCTTAACTCTAAAGTGACTAATATAACTGACACTTAGTTAAAAATTAGGCCCTGTTTAAGCAAAAATGATTTATGGTGAAAATGGAAGAGTTTCGTTGCGTTTGTTTTGTTCATTTACATGAAAACAGTGAATGTTTTCTCTGACAGCGGCACAAGTTGAGAACTGGTTCCAGAGCGCAATGGTTCAAAAACATCCCAGTGCCCGTTGTCATGTAAACAGAAAAAATAGATATTTTCTGTCATCCCTGGTTCACGCGCAGTATAACGCAGCAAAACACAACGGCTTCCTACAGTCCACAGGAGAACAACTAGTGGCGTGGCGAGGGAATTACACCTTTTCCACATTGCTGTGTAAACAGAGATTGTAATTAGGACGTTTTCATGTAAATTTCATAGAAATGGGGGGAAAAAAATCTGTTTTCATTGGATTGTTGTCATGTAAACAGGGCCTTAGATTATTTAAGTCAATATCCTAATTTTAGTTGTTTACTTTTCAACAAGTTCTGGATCATTTTGAAAGTAAACGGCCTCTCCAGTGAAATGTATGGATTAAGTCTATCAGTCAGCATGAAGGTCTGGGAGTTCTGTGTCCTTTTTGTCTTTTTGCTTTGGAGTTCAACACTTGGAGAGGACACAGGTGAGAGGACTGTTCAGCAGGTGTACGTCAGCAGCAGCTGGAAACAAGAAAAATCTCCCAGTTTTTCACATTATTTGGATCACATTGTTCTCTGTGTTGAAATGTGGATTGTTCAGTTTCTCTGCAGCTGCTGGGACTGTCAGTCCATCATGCACATCTGTGCTGTAAACAAGTATTTGGTTCAGCTATGCTTCTTGTTGTGGCTGTAACACTGTAGCTGCGTAATATAATTATATTTTTACATATCAGTAGCGTATACAAGCTTTTATTTTGTGTCTTTGAGCTTAACTGTTGTATTCTGACTGTGTAGTGGCAGAAGACGTTGGCGTCCATCAACTGGAACGTTTAGTGGAGCTGTTGACACCCAAGGAGTGTGAGGACCTCCTGTTTGCCCTGTCTCACCCAGAAGAAGACATCTTCCAGCATATCGATCGCCTCTCACCAGAAAATAATCAACTGGATCTCAATCTGCGAGTCAAGAGAGACAAGTCTTCTGCTGTAGGTTCGTAAAGTGACGGGAGACCTTTGGCACCACGCAGGTCTAAGAAGGCCCCATTCCTTGTCTTAGAGTGGGGGCATTCTGCTGCCATGTGGGGGGAGTAAATGGTCCTCAATATTTGGGTGGCTGGTGAGTGCACTGCTGTTCATTTTGCATGTGGTGGTTGAAATTTCACGACTGGTTTAAAGTGTTGCATTTCATCTGGTTTTACTCACTGGTGGTCAATCTGGTGACTTTTATAGCCTAATGATAATTATTTAAAATGAAATGAAAGATTTAAAAAGTTTAGAGAGAAAACAAACTTTTGGTGAAGCTGTTGTTAAAACTCAAAAATATTGGAAGACCCAGTGTGTTGTATTTGTTTCAATTTAAGGGTTTCTTTCAAAATATTTTAGCTTTAAAAGCAAGAAGCAACTAAAGAAAAAATATGAATACACTGGAGCTGAAAATGACAACATTGCATTACAAAAGTTGCAACAACAGTACAACGTTTAACTCTGAATGGTGAAGTGGAGCTGCAGTGTAAAACACACAAACTGTACAGGAGGCAGTACTTCAGTTCAAATATTCAAACACTTACTTTACAATATATTGATTGTAGGTATTTATTATAAAGCACTCTAAAAAGTGTGATAATGATTCCTCTATGTAAAGCTACTCGTAATTTTTAAATACATTTTTTATCAGAAAGAACATTGTTGAACTTTATTAATTTGTTACTGTTCTTTCTTCAGTTTTTCTTATTATTATTGTTATTTGTGTGATTTATCTAGTGATTTATTTTGGAATTTTTTTGTCCTGTCATTTCAGCAAAAATTGAATAGAGTCATGACGACAACATAATAAGACAAGTTTATTGTTTTGTTTTGTCATAACAATATGTTTTCATCCATCCATTATCTTTACCCGCTTATTCCATTTTGGGTCACGGGGGTCGCCGGTGCCCATGTCCAGCAATCACTGTGCAAGGGGTGACCCTGGACGGGTCGTAAGTCCATCACAGGGACACATAGAGACAAACGACACAAACAACCATTCACTCTCTCACTCACACCTAGGGACAATTTAGAGTTACCAATCAGCCTAACATGCATGTTTTTGGTCTGTGGGAGGAAACCGGAGCACCCGCAGAAAACCCACGCATGCACGGAGAGAACATGCAAACTCCACCCAGAAAGGCCCCTGGACCGGGGTTTGAACCAAGGACCTGCTTGCTGAGAGGCAGCAGCTCTACCAGTTGCGCCACCGTGCTGCCCAAGATGTTTTCATGTTTTTGCTAAATATTTTTCATCTTATAACCAAAAAATTGGTGTCCCATATATATTTTGTGTCACAATTTCCTGCGGGATCAATAAAGTTATATCTTATCTTATCTTATAATATGATATATTCAAATTTCATAAAATATGATATGTATATGATAAGTATGTATCATATAAATGTGAAAATGTTTTTGGTAGGACATGTTATAATGTAAAAGTTGTGTATTAAATACAAACCGGATTCCAAAAAAGTTTGGCCACTAAAATTGTGAATAAAAACTGAATGCAATGATGTGGAGGTGCCAACATCTAATATTTTATTCAGAATAGAACACAAATCACAGATCAAAAGTTTAAACTGAGAGAATGTATCATTTGAAGGGAAAAATCTGTTGTTTCCAAATTTCATGGCGTCAACAAATCCCAAAAAAGTTGGGACAAGTCCATTTTTACCACTGTGTGGCATCCCCCCTTCTTCTTACAACACTCAACAGACGTCTGGGGACAGAGGAGACCAGTTTCTCAAGTTTAGAAATAGGAATGCTCTCCCATTCATGTCTAATACAGGCCTCTAACTGTTCAATCGTCTTGGGCCTTCTTTGTCGCACCTTCCTCTTTATGATGCGCCAAATGTTCTCTATAGGTGACAGATCTGGACTGCAGGCTGGCCATTTCAGTACCTGGATCCTTCTCCTACGTAGCCATGATGTTGTGATTGCTGCAGAATGTGGTCTGGCATTATCGTGTTGAAAAATGCAGGGTCTTCCCTGAAAGAGATGACGTCTAGATGGGAGCATATGTTGTTCTAGAACCTGAACATAGTTCTCTGCATTAATGGTGCCTTTCCAGACATGCAAGCTGCCCATGCCACAAGCGCTCATGCAACCCCATACCATCAGTGATGCAGGCTTCTGAACGGAGCATTGATAACAACTTGGGCTATCCTTGTCCTCTCTGGTCTGGATGACATGGCGTCCCAGTTTTCCATAAAGAACTTCAAATCGTGACTCATCTGACCACAGAACAGTCTTCCATTTTGCCACACTCCATTTTAAATGACCCCTGGCCCAGTGCAAACGTCTGAGCTTGTGGAGCTTGCTTAGAAATGGCTTTCTTTTTGCACTGTAGAGTTTCAGCTGGCAACAGCGGATGGCACAATGGATTGTGTTCACTGACAATGCTTTCTGGAAGTATTCCTGAGCCCATTCTGTTATTTCCTTGACAGTGGCATTCCTGTTTGAGGTGCAGTGACGTTTAAGGGCCCGGAGATCACGAGCATCCAGTAGAGTTTTATGGCCTTGACCCTTACGCACAGCGATTGTTCCAGATTCTCTGAATCTTTTGATGATGTTATGCACGGTTGATGATGATAACTTAAAAGTCTTTGCTATTTTACGCTGGGTAACACCATTCTGGTATTGCTGCACTATCTTTCTGTGCAACAATGGTGGAATTGGTGATCCTCTTACCATCTTGGCTTCTGAGAGACACTGACACTCTGAGAAGCTCTTTTTATACCCAATCATGTTGTCAATTGACCTAATTAGTGTTAATTGGTCTTCCAGCTGTTAGTTATATGCTCAATTTCCATTTTCCAGCCACTTATTGCTACTTGTCCCAACTTTTTAGGGATTTGTTGACACTGTGAAATTTTGAATCAACATATTTTTCCTTTAAAATGTTACATTTACTCAGATTAAACTTTTGATCTGTCATCTATGTTATATTACGAATAAATATTGACATTTGCCATCTCCACATCATTGCATTCAGTTTTTATTCACAATTTGTTTAGTGTCCCAACTTTTTTGGAATCCAGTTTGTAGTAAAAAAGATAGAAAAACTTTTCACCTTGTAATGTTATCCATCCATCATCTTTACCCATTTCTTCCTTTTTGGATTGTGGGGGTCACTGGTGCCCATGTCCAGCGGTCACTGTGCGAGAGGTGGGGGACACCCTGGACAGGTCTCCAATCCATCACAGGGACACATAGAGACAAACAACTATTCACTCTCACACCTAGGGACAATTTAGAGTTACCAGTCAGTCTAACATGCATGTTTTTGGTCTGTGGGAGGAAACTGGAGTACCTGGAGAAAACCCACACATGCACAGAGAGAACACACAAATCCACCCAGAGAGGTCCTGGGCCGGGATTTGATTTGTCGACCTTCTCGTTGAGATGTGGCAGCTCTACCAACTGTTCCACCACGTAATGTTATATTAACTTTATTTTATAGATATCGTAGGTAAAGGAAGGTATTTTAAAATTATTACTTCTCTTCATAACCAACATGATATCCAGGAAGAATGGGTGTAACATCTAAGAACTCGTTCCTTGTACACACAGAAGTAAGAGGATGTGAAATTTTAGAGTTGCAATAAAAAATGAAGTGTAACCAAAAGTTTTCAGTGAGAGCAGAAAAACCAGGAGCTGAAATGTGACGAGGCAGAAGTGGGAGCACATGTCCACTCAGCTTGGAGAGTTTGTGGCAGCAGCCCGACGCTCACAGGCCCGTCTCTCTGAGAGCCGTATGTTTGTGTTTTGTAGAGGAGCCCGAGTGCCAGGCAGCCCTGACAGACTGGCTGCTGAAGTATGGCGAGAAAACCTACTACGACAGACTTTCTCGTGGCCTGCAGCACATCGGCAGGACCGACATCGCCATCGGTGAGAACTACACAAAGGCAGAGCACAAGCTCCATGCAGCACTCATTCACCGTGTTCACTACAAACATGTGATCCTGCAGATAGGACAGCTTCATGAAAACAGATCATTTTTATGTACCGTACGGTTGATTGCAGCAAATCCCTGTGCGCGCGCTTCGCAACACGTCCCTTGACAAAAAGAAAACTGGAGCAGGGCCTCGTTTTGTGTTTTCAAGTTTATTCTCTTCCTGGAGTTTTTTAACAGCCCAGTATAATTGCTTCATTTCTTTGAAATTTGTTTTAATTGGAGCTTCCAGAGTGACACAGTTTACACACTGCCAGTCCCTGGCATGTGCTGCGGTCCAGCGTGCACGCAGCTCCGCAGCCGAGTGGCGCTGGAGAGAAGGAGGTGTGAATGATCTGACAGAGGACTCAGTGAAGCTGACACCAGCCAGACAACAAACCATCTGCTCCTTTCATCAGCAGCTTTGGAGTTTAAGACAACACAGAGGAAGTATGCGAGGACAAGTTGTAAGACACGACTCGGAGCATTAGCGGCTCTGAAGTGGAATACTGTGATGTAGAATGTAGCAATTATGGCTCTTGATTGCAGTTCTGAGGCGATCTGCTCAAACATGCAGTCACAAGCATTTGTTTGGTCCTGTCCTGCTAGAAATAATTATGTTCTGAGCAAGACACCAGCAATTCAACTAGATCTAAAGAGATGTTACGGTCAATTTGAAGTGGGATTCTATGGAAGGTTACTGAGCAGTTAGCATCTTTCCTGTTGCAGATAGCTTGTGGAACAATCTCAGTTCGGTGAACAAGTTGACGTCTGACTGGACTGAGCTAATGGGCAAGACAAAAGCAGATCTTAAAACAGCTCAGATAAAAAAAAAAAAAGTATATATATATATATATATATATATATATATATATATATATATATATATATATAAGTCATTTTTGCAGATGCTATTTCTTCACCTTCAATTTTTCTTTAAGTTGTATTTACAAAATATTCTAGAGCCTGGAGCACTTCCATCAAGAATTTTGTCTTTCTGTTCAGATAACTTTAATACAAACAGTTTTAAGGTTTCAATAATTGCATTTGCAGAAACTCCTATAACATGTTGAGTATATGTGTTGTTTTAAGATTGCAAAATGTATTTTACAAACTAATCGAGTTGTATTCGGGCCCAAAAAATTTGATCCGCCCCAGCACGTAGCCATCATTGACGAACCCGACCCGACGAATGAACAGTAATTACAGGTCTGAACCCGAACCCCCCTCCCCCAACATTTTTAATTAAGCTTTGACTGCTTATATAATTATTAATGGTCGGTGGATGCGCGGCTGAATAAAAGGGGCAGAAGATCGGAGCTGAGGGAGTGTTGTCCTTTCATGGACGTCAAAGAGCATCGAAACCCTTTTTCTGCCTGCATTCTGCATTATTCAGACACGGACCCTGCTCTGACTCGTCTGCTTTGGGATCTCACCTGTTTGGTCGTCGGCCGCGCGCGTCCATTGAGTGCAGCGGCTGAATGAACGCCCATTTGGGCGATGGATTGCTTCCTGGCAGTACAGTCCCATCTGAAGCTTAAACTTTATTTTACCTATTTCAAGGCTGGTCAGCTCGTGGTCAAATGGCTGCGTGAGGCTGGTATGGCAATGGAAGTGACAGCTCTACAAGTTAATAGAAGCTTGTCCAAGCAGATCCATTTCTGAAACAAACCGCTGCCATTTGAAACAAATTTTACATAACCGTCATTGTTGTTTCATCAAAAGTAACAATTCCTGCCACATTTCCTTCTAGGAAACACTGGAAGTGCTACCACTCAGTGCTATTTGTAATTTCAAATTTTAATAGAATTTATCGTAGCCATATAATGTAAAACTGAAATGTAACATTTATAGAATAAATTGAACCACTTTGACATTTTGGAGATTGGAGCTGTTTTAGGAGGAGCAGTCCACTTTAGTTGTATTTAAATGCATCGAGCCATCAGCTGTAAACATCAGCACATTTAGAACAATTCAAACGCAGTATGTTTAGATTTTTGTTCCCTTACCTTTAAGGCAAATATTGATTTGAGTTCTGGAAGTTAAAGATATGCAGACATGTTTTTGGGTTCTCTTAATCCTGTCAGACTTAAAGGCCCTGCATCCATCGAAGCCACAAAAATCATCTCTCACTGACGTCCCGCTAGTTGCGTGATGAAATTTGTGTCATTTTTTTCTCGGAGCAGCTTCGCCCCTTCTCAACAAAAGGCCCAGGCTGATTTTTTTTTTTTTTTTACAGGTGTACGTGCCAAGTGTGTGATTGGTCAGAAGTTTGTAGACATGTTTGTCAATGCAGAATATAGAAAATACATACAGAATATTTAGTATACAGACATTTCACACTCAAATAATGTTATAGTTGCTCTGTTTTAATTTTTTTAACAGAGGTGGGGAAGAACATCAACCAGGACAAAGTCTTGAACCTGAAGCGTTATGTCGAGGACTACCACAAGTACGTCAGCTCTCTGAACATCCAGCCGGCGAATGCAGACTCCAACACCCATCGGCATCAGAGGATCAAGAAGACAAAGTGTAAGATCATTTATCCTGCAAGCACAAGACCCGCTTTAAATGTGTGTTCACGTGAAAGCAGAAATCTCTCACACTATCGATGCCAAGAGAAGATTTTTTGGGTTACACCTCTTGAGATTGTCTGAATGACAAATGATATAATGTTTCCCTGAACCCAGAATCTATTAAGTGTTTAGATGAGATGCTGGATTAGATGGTGGCTGCGGGCATGCTTCCAGCTCATTACTTCTCAGCATCAACACTCTGACTGTACAAAGAATATTTCCCAGGACACTTACAGATTCAAAAATGTAATTATCACCTGTCTATTTATTTTCTTCCCCTGAGTCCTTCCTTCAAGTTAAAACTTGACAAAATTGCTCCTGTACTGCAGAGGTGAAGTTGTGTGTCTGTGCTGTGTGTTAGTGACAGATCTGACATGGAGAGACCTGGATCTGGTCTTGGAGCGAGCTCCAGTCCCTCCATATCCCAGGAGCCCATTGGATGTCGTTCTGCCTGTGATGTACGGCATCCTGCTGGGCTTTGGGGGCACTCTGCTGGCAGGCTTGTTTCTGCTCCTCGTCATCAACCGCAGCTCTGAAAGGCAGCAGAGCATCGCCACGACCAGACACCATCAAGTTTGATGACATGAAACTGGGAGATGGAGATTCCTGGTTGAAAAACTCAGTTATTTTTTACATTATTTACCATAGATTTCAAATAAACAAACAACAGCAACAATTTTTTTTTTAAATTCAAATAAGTGTTTTGTAGAGTCCAACATTTTTCAGTCAGGTCATCTGCACAGTTTCTTTTTTTTGTTTGTTTGTTTGTGCTGAAACGTTTCACCTTCCATCCAGAAGGCTTCATCAGTCAAGGAAGCACTCAACACAAAACTGATTCTTCCCCCAACAGCTTACTCCAAAGTGGAACAAACCAGTTACATTGGATTGTATACCTGGATTATTGAGCATGGACTTTGTTGTTTTGAACCAGTTTGACTGTCGACGAGGAAGAGGGCCGGCAACGGAGGAGGGGGCGTAAGAAAGAGACCATCTTAGCACCAACATAACTAGTTTGTTCCACTTCCGAGTAAGCTGTTGGGGGAAGAATTTGTTTTGTGTTGTGTGTTTCCTTGACTGATGAAGCCTTCTGGATGGAAGGAGAAACGTTTCAGCACAAAAAAAGAAGAAACTGTCCAGATGACCTGACTGAAAAATGTTGGATTGTATACCTGGATTATTGAGCATGGACTTTGTTGTTTTTAGAGTATTTGCACAAATCACCCGGTCTACAAAAACACCTAACATCAGTTCCACCGCACCTCCAACAAACATGATAAGCATATTGTCCTTTCTGTGCTGCATACTGATAAACTGTCTCAGGACGCTACGCTTTGCTGAGATGTTTGTGATTCAAAACTGGAGCCCAGCCCTCACACCAAAGGTTGCTCCGGTGCTACTCTGATAGCAACGCCACTTTCCATTTCCTCTCTAAGTGACGGCAATGTGCCTGTCTGGCATCGAAGAACAACTAATTATCCAGCCTGGTGCCTGCTTCCCCAGGAGCCTGTCGATACCTCCACAGGCAATCCAAACGACTAATAACAATGACAATACCAGCAGACAATGGAGCACTCCTGACTGTGATGGCAGCGTCCGCTGGGTAAAGGAAGCCAAACAAAAACACATGGATTTATATTTTCTGATATAAAAAAGAGAAAGTGGGACTTAATTGATTCACAAGGTGGTATGAAGAAATGGGCCCAGAACACCAGCTCCAACCAAAACAGATTCAAATTAACTTTATTGACACGTGAAAGTGTCAATTAAAACATAATTTCCTCACAACAAAACTATTTAACTGTTCTCTACTGAGACATTTGGTTTCATAAAAGCAAGAAAGGAAGAAAGCGTGCTCACGGCTCTCGAGTACTTCCTTTCCTCTTGTTCCCAGTTTCTTTCACCGTCCCTGCGTTCTTCGTCATAATTGAGCTAATTACTTCATTATACAAATCTAGCCTAATGTGCTTCAGGAGGCCGACAGCTTGGATTAACAGTGGCACTGAGCAGCAATTACAGTCTATTAGTTCATAAATCAACATTTAAACAAATTATAGTGTGTAAGAAAAGCTGTGAAAGATCAAAAGGGCATTGCTTTTTACTCCTTACTGAAGCAACATGATGAAAAAGTTCAACGCTCGAAACAAAAATGATCCGAGAGGTGATTTTGAAAAACTAAATGTTTAATATTTTTGTTGAGTTAAGCTTCAAGCAGAGGCATTAGTCTTTAGATGACATCATCTTCAGATTCGTCGGTTCATTTCTCTGGTGGCGCAGCAGAGCTCTCAATGACTAAACCTTTTCTGTCCTTCAGTTTCCCCCCGCTGGCCGTTAGGATCCTGCAGGTGCTCGCTGTGACAGGTTCACCTGCTGTGGGCTCACCCGCATCTCTGTAAGCAGTGGAGGGGAAAGCTGCACTTATGTATGCCTGACTGAGTCAGAGAAACAACATGGCACATGGGGCCATCATGGCTGTGACACTCTCTGCAAGGATCCATCAGGAAGCTGCTCCCAGCAGCTGAAGAAACAAACACCTTGAGCTTATTGGGGCACGGTGAAAATCTGTAAACCCCCGTGCACGACCACATACAGTAACTAAAGGTTTACAAACTACTAAAACACACAGTAATATAAGTTTATGTTGTCAGTGTTACAACTACTCGTTTTGTTGTTTGCTTTATTGGATTTACATCATCTTGGACTGTCCCTGCAGTCATGGGAAGAGTAAAGTGCACCCTCTTTTAATTCTAAGGTTTATACAGCAGAAGAAATATGCCGATGTCCCCCGTCACTAAACGATTTGAATAGTGAATGTTGGTAATTTTTTAGATTGTTTTTCCAGACTGGAACTGAACAATGAATGTAGAGTAAACCTCAGTGTTTCTGGTAAAAGTGTGGATAGGAGTTACAGAGTCTGCAGCAAAATAATTTGTTTTTTTCTTGTCTAAAGCAGCCCAGGGTGACAGATGCTGGCGAGTTGAGGAAGCAATTTTATCCACCACCAGGTGCAATGGTTGAGCCACGGGGTGGCCAGTGGTGGTCACCGTAGAGTAATGTTCAGCCACTGTACAGCCACCCCAATCATTTGGGGAAATTTTAGGTACTTTAAATGCTAGAAAGTGTTACTGAAATAATATGGATGGCTAGTTATATATATATATATATATATATATATAAACATACATACACCGGTATATGGTGGTGGCCATCTTGGATTTTGATATGAAAACTCAATTTTTGAAAGCAACCCGTTTTATGCCTATATGCAGCCACACACCAAAATGGAAGTCGGTACTTCACATATTTTTCAAGTTATTGTGATCAAAACATGCACAGACGGATGGTGTGTATTTTTAATACACCACCACCCCCCCTCCCCTTTTCACTCCACAACAGGGGCCAATAAAACTGAAGGCCAAACATGCCTTGAAGGAATGCGTGTCATCTGGCTCTTTTCATGCCAGAGCTTTAGACTAAAATCATTTTGTTATTTCTGTTAAACCTTGAAAACAACGTTATGAACAGTCTCATGTGTCAGTGATTGTCAGACAAACATCAAATTTCAGTTCAATATCTGTAAAAGTCACTCAGATATAACCACTGCTGTGTAGGCTATGTAGTGGCCAGCAATTACTTATTAGTTTCATTGAAATCTATCCAGTAATTCATTAAATATTTTGCTAACAGTACATAAATACACATGTACAAGCAAACCCAATATTGCAACATCTTTGACTTTAGCGGCAGCACTTTTTACTGGGTCTTTACCAGTTTCTAAAATGATTTGAATCTATCCTCAAATGTATGAAAAACACAACAGACTCCTACATATTTATATTTATTCAACTAAAAGCTAAACTGGGAACTCTGTGTATAAACAACCAGTCCGTCCTTGTTGCTTCCACAGACCTACAGAGGGTCAGGAGCAGCCAGATGCTGCTGATCAGATGAGTCAGTTCACTGACTGTCATTAATATGAGGCTCTCTATAATTAGTCTGCTACTCTGGAGCGTACAGGCCTTTTATTAAACCTAAAAACCAAGAAGGAAAGACATCAGCAATGACCTCCAACTGTTGCTGCCCATCAACTTGAGAAGGGTTAAAGGTAACTTCCAAACATTTTGGAGCCTGTTGTGATACAGTGGGAACTGATCCTCTGGCTCTCTCTCTCAAGAGGGACACTTCTCCTCTCTTTCTCCCTGTTCTCCTCTTCCTCCCACTTCTGCTCTCTGTGTGTCTCGGAGCTCCTGGTACACATCTCCTGAACGGAAAACACTATTTTGGATCTGATGAGCTGGACTTTCAACGGAATCGACAAAATCTTTTCAATAAAACAACGGTGTCCTGGAGAACCCTCTGGCCCGGCTGAGACTCACGCTGCGGGGTACATCAGAGATCAGCTGATGTGTCTTTCAGTTCTGTCTCAGGAGGACGCTGAAAACATTTATATTTTGGATTTATGACAGCAGGGGTTCTGCTATTTGGCATTGGTGGGGCTCTGTTTGATCAACTTGAAGAAGACAGTGGCAGCAGTTTTGGCCATGGCAAGCTTACGAGTTTGTGTTTGGTACGTGCTATGAGGACTCAAAATTAGCTGATTAATGAGCTAAACCATAAGATGGAGACGATTTGTGAGAATCGCAGGCCACCTGTGGCTTTAGGACTCGACAGCATATGGGATCAATCTTGGGGAGGCTCATAATGCGGATCAGTGGAGAGGAATACCCATAAATCTGGACATTTTGGACCGAGAAAGTTCCAGCAGGACTCAAGATTGACAAGAAAAACAGTCTGCCTGAAGAAAATCAACAATTGTAGCTTATCTGAATCTGATTGCCCCGTTTGGCCTCGGATATGAGCAGACTATCATATTTCTCCTGGGACATGGGTAACTAGGGAAAAAGCTTTGTCTATCGCAACCGCCCCCCCAGAACTTCTGTGCAGGCTTATCAGAACTGTCGGCTGAACATCATCAGAACTGTGGCCGATCTGAAAGTGCTCATGGACAAATCTCACTCTCAAAGAGCAGCAGCAACGTGCACTCCGCCCATCTTTCAGACAACTGTATGGATATATTCTCACTGTATCTCGGTACAATAATAATAAATGTTGTTCTGATTCTGATACAAGTGGAAAACATTTAGGACAGCAATTTCAGCCCAAGGTCAGACTGTGCAATGCTCTGAGAAATGACCCAAAAAAAAAGGCTCTTTGTGATCATTTCAGTGTGTAAAAACATAAAAATGTCAGAAAGATTTGTGTAACTAAATGTATATTCTAGTGCACGGTTTCAAAAACTATAAAACAGAGCTTGACCATGTGATCGTCTCTGAGCCCAACCTCGAAGATGTCTTTCATTTACTGAAATTTGAAGAATAGACCAACAGTCTATTCTCATGCAAAGAGATGAAGCAATCACATGGATGAATAGAGAAAGAATCTGACATGAAATTGACATTTACAGCCCAGACGAAGCTGGCGTGTGAGGGTACGGTTTCCAGGCACATCCATTCTCATGTAAAACAGAGTGCCTTTTTCATCCCGGTGGTTTGGTTTGGGTATTTAATAGTTTGTGGAGCAGC